TTCGTTTCCTCCATCTCCAGTTCTGTATCTCCCTTTATGCGGATCCCAGCAACCGTAGACCTATTTTCCCCTTAAAAAAACAAACGGACATGAAAAATTATTTAATACTTCCCTTAATTCACCTCCCTCTCCGTCTCTCTTGTCTCCATACTTCTAGTCCTGTTTCTCCATCCATCCAGTCAGCCACCCAACAGCACCCCCACCCCCCGCCCCCTTCTGTCTCTTCACAGTAGTCCGTATGGACCCTTAAAACCCGGACACACGAATTATTTAGCGTAAAAAACTAAACAAAAAAAAACCTTTGTGTGCGTGTGTTGAGGGTTGCATCCCCTCTCGGTGCCTCCTTAGGGATGTGTCTCTGCTATATTGCAGTGATGTCAGCCAATATATCGTCTAATTAATAGAATGGGAGGCAGAAACTCAAAAAGAGAGATGAAAATTATGAAAACAAGACCTGGGAATTCTTCGAGATGCATTGCACATTACGAAGAGTAATGCTTTTACTGGAACGTCGCGGGAGGGTGGGGGGGGGCACAGCTAAAATGTCACCCCTCCAACCCCTGTGCTGAGCATCATTAATAGGTTAAATAAAACATTTTCCCGAAGTTTGTTCAATTTAAAATCTTTGTAACTTGTGAAATTGTGTGTTACTTTGTCTCTACGAAGTTCCAATGTCTTGACACACACATGACTAATTTTGTAAACATAAAACGCGACTAGTTTTACCGCGTTTGTATCTCCAATTGGGATATCTTGTATCGGTTGCCGGATTTCAAACTAAAGTAACGCTCCGTGTAAACGTAAACTTCGAGAGGACATGCAGCCGATGTGTGGCAGGCAAATATATTTCCTTCTGAGCAGAGGTGTCTGTATTCATCGCTGATGATGGCGGAAACAAGCACCTCCGAAACGTCGGTTAACTTCTGCCATCCTAAAAGGCGCAAAACCCTAGCAGACAGCCGTTTTTAAACGTCTAATGGTTTTTTCTGTCAAGAAATACTTTACGTTTAGTCCCCAGGGTTGTAAGTACGTACGTCTGGGTCAGAGAAAACCGAACTGTCTTAGTCGTGAGTAACATCACTCATCTTCAGCGAAGACAAGAAATGGTTAAGGTACAGATGATGACGTCGATTTACCAGGTCAGAAGGGGGAATGAGTGGAACATTTCGCCAGATGATGACGTCGATTTACCAGGTCAAAAGGGGGAATGAATGGAACATTTCGTCTGCATTAGACAATCAGAAGTCGTTTTCCGTGTTCCGAATGTTCAAATTTGAAATGGCGGATAATGTACCTTCGAGGACAGAGTCGCGAAGTGACATTTACGTGGTTCTCTCTCTGAAGAAGTCACATCATATGGCTGTGAATCACCGACTCAAGTCTGTGCTACAATAAAACATAGGATTTGGAGTCGTAATTCTGAACTTCATACGTATAATTTTACAACTCATCACTCAATGATATTTTATTCTGTGATTGTATAAGTCAATCACTTTCCCAAGATTGTCTTTCCGAAAGGAAATATGTTTGTTGCATACAACTTTTAGTTCATGTTCCATTTCGAGAAATATGTTTTATACTTTTTGGACAAGTCTGTTACTCATTTTTGCAATAAATTATTTAATGTTATCTTTTGAATTTAACATTCTTTTACGATATTCCGTTTGGGTGAACGTACCATTGCAAAGTTTCTTCAAAACTTCTTTGCCCAAATTACATAATAGAAAAATCAGTAATTGGTCCGGTGTTGCCTGTCCAACAGTGATATTTTTCGTATTTACCAATTTTTCTACTGCACACCGTTGTGAAAATTTATGCACACCTCTATGTGTAATCTAAGAAAAATAAATAATTTCTTAATTTTTCCTGGGTTTTCTATGCGAGAGGAATTTGTTTCTAGATTTTACTAAGTTCTCTAAGTCCCTGAGAAAAATGCGCCGATGTGTTAGGTTTTCAGACGCCAGTGTGCCTATTTTTCAAAATATAAAATTACCCACAATTTTCCCAGGGCTGTCCCTCAAGAAGAAAAATATTTTGCATTTGACATTTTTCATGACTCGCCATTTCGGAAATCGGAGTTCGACAGACGGCGAACAGTTGAATCTTACGTAAGTTACACTACACCGAGATCACTTCGACATTGGATTTTGTTGTTTGTTTCAAATGTAGCGGGAAATTTATTTTAGACATTTTAAATGCCGTGTGTGAATTTAATATTTTGTATACTACTACAAACTATACCAGAGAAGATGGCTGTCTTCTGGGTCGTATCGCCACGTAGTCTGGTAGAAGTTTACTGACGTTTCAGAGAGGTACCTGCTGCCTCCATCATCAGGGCGGTTGCTCTGAAGATGGAGGAGCTAAAACCCAGAAGATTATCAATGTTTTTTTTATTTTTTGTGTGCCAACGTGAGGCGAACATCAGTGCGTAGTGGCGCCTCCAATCTAACCTTTCACCCAGATGTTAAGCTTTTAACGGACGTCTTACGTTGAAGAGATATGGACTCCAAGTGAGAGTTGCGTTATATTTTAAGTGTTGCTACAAAATTCATGCCAGTAGTGCTGGTAGTTAACATGATTTCTTCTCGTCAATAGTCTTTTTTTTTATTCCTTGAAAGGTTTAGGCTAATTAAATAAGATCTGAAGCTTCTAAAAATATCCCTGAATCCCGACTTACTCGAAATCCCTACCTGATAGTCTAGTGTGACATCCGGTGAAATAATTTTTCTATTTCACTTGATTTTCCTAAATGTCATCTGTCGGTTTGTAAACACTTGAATGAGTTCAGCGTGTTGACATTTTGCTGTTCGTCTCTTGGAGTTACTGCTTTAAATCTGAGTAAAAGTCTCATTTGTGCTGTTTCGATTCCTTGTATTTCCTCCATATCCAAGGGTCGTTTCGGTACTCTGTTAGTTTCTGATTCCGCGTTATGAGATATCCATTGGACTGATTCGTCCGTAATTTCTCAGCCTATACATGGGTTTGCTCTAAGTTGATGGTGACGTGTCACTACCAGCGAATTATTTAGGGCTCCTCAGGTCTAGAAACCCGTCTTGTCTAGTTCCCATTTACGAATTCCTGCACATTGGATTGTAATCTGCGTGAAGGATAAAATATGGCCGAAATAGAAGAAATAAGAAATGTGTCAAAAGAGATGAAATTGCAATGAAAAAACTGTTACGAGCTCTTTTATATTTTTCGCACGCCTGTAGTAATGTGTGGTTATGTTAGGTATGTTATGCAGTCTTGTTTTTAAACACTGTTAGGTTTACAGCGGTGCTAATTGCAATTTCCCTTGTCTGCCACACAACGTATATACGTCCGTCGGTATTACAAGCCCAGACCACGTAGGGTACGTGGACTTGCTTATATATAAAAAAAAAGGTATCTACACACACACACCCCCTCCGACACACCGCCGTGTTGTAATCACCATCATGTAGTATGTAAGGTTCACACATGGAACACACCGGACACCCCTCACGTGTATTTTGATTTAATTTGAAAAAGCACGTCGTTGTTGTAACTCGTATGTTGGGTTTTGTGTGGGGGAGAGGGGTGGGTTAGGTTGGAAGGGGGTGCGTTATATTTCGGCATCCTCTGTAATTACGTATACAAGTAAAAACAAAATTATCTTTTATATATTCGTGTGTAGAGGAAAAAACCCCTCGTACTCACTTTTAACCCCC